CAGTTTCATTGTCACACGTCGGCTCGAACTATGAGGCTGAGTGATTTTCACTCACCTCATAGTTCTCCTTTAATTTTAAAGTTTCCACTTTTAGGTAGAAAAGGAAACCAACTTACTTGCCACTGTCTGCTGTTTGGCAATGGACTCCCAATTAGCAGTTTCAGCAGGACTGCCAGTAGAAATGTGCACCGGCAAAACATTTGTTTTGTTTCTTTCATTTTGATTCGGATTTTGCATTATTTCATTTTTTTGGGATTCGGACAAAATTCATTAGCGGTAGTCTGTACGAAATTTCGTTGCAGCAAAGTGACATTTTTACAGTCTGCGGAAGAGGAAAAAAAAAAAGCGCCCTTTAGGTCTGGTAGGAATGTTAGGAGGGACCCCCCAAGTTAAAACAAAAAAAAAGTGAGTGGGGTTCCCCCCAAAATCCCTACCAGGCCCTTTAGGTCTGGTAGGAATTTTAAGGGGGAACCCCAGCCACCAAAATGGGGAAGAAAAAACATGGGGTCCCCCCTAACATTCCTACCAGACACTTGATCCGAGCACAGGCCCGGCAGGGCAAAAAAGGGGGGGCGATCGAGCACTCCCTTACCAGGCCCCGTGCCCTCGGCATTGGGAGGGTGCCCTCATGCCGATAGGGACAAGGCTCTCTTCCCCACAACCCTGACCTGGTGGTTGTGGGGGTCTGCGGGAAAAGGGGCTTATATGCATCGGGGTACCCCTTTAATTAAGGGGGCATCCAGATGCCACCCCCCTTGTGAATGAGTAAAGGGTTAAAATTCAATGTAAATAAACAAACCACACTTTTAGAATGAATCCTTTAATTGAAAAAAAAAAACAGTAAATTTTTGACTATTCCTTTAACCGCCCCCCGGCCGGCCAATGTACTGGTGTGGCCGGCCAGAAGCTTCCTAGATCTGAGTGGGCGTATTTAAACGTCCCGACAGCCACACCCACTCGCAAGCTGGAAACTGCCTAAATTTAAAAACAGGCAGCGATGCTTGTTTATATACAAGTGTTCCGCCGGCTATAGTGCCAGAGGATCGCTTGTATAAGGTGTAGGTGTAGGTGTGTGTGTGTGTGTGTGTGTGTGTGTGTGTGTCCCGGGGCTCCACTGTGCCCGTTGCGAGCCCGGAACCAGCACGGTGGCTCTGTGACAGGGGATTAGAGAGAGGTCGGTACACGATCTCCCTCCATCCCCTCTCCGGTGTCAGAATGCGGAAGTGATGTATATTACATCACTTCCGCATTCTCGTGTCACTCTACAGCTTCAAATATCCAAGGACCTGTAGCACACCTTACCGAAATTCCCATAGGCAAAAAAAGTGACTGCGGATGGCGCCGGATCAAGCAAAGTTTGTTGTGAAGAAATGTCACCAACACACCAGCATGACAAACACGTCAATATTCAGTGAATCTTCGTTTTTATTTTTTAGAAGTCACTCAAAGTAGAATCAAGCGCTTTCAGGGCCGCACAGGGTCTCCTCCATCAGGCTTAAGCTTTTGCATTATTTAATTTTTTAAGCTTAAAGCCTGATGAAGGGGACCCTGTGTGGCCCCGAAAGCGCTTGATTCTGCGTTGAGTGACTTCTGAAAAATAAAAACGAAGATTCACTGAATATTGACGTGTTTGTCATGCCGGTGTGCTGGTGACATTTCTTCACAACAAACTCTACAGCTTCAGACGCTGGAGAGAAGCAGATCTCATAGTTCAGGTCCTCGAACCCCTTAATGAGTTTGGTTGCCCTCCTCTGGACTTTTTCCAGCTCAAGGACATCTTTTCTGAGTATCGGTGACCAAAACTGGACCGCATACTCCAGATGTGGCCGAACCAGTGATCTATAAAGTGGCAAAATTATAGACTTGTCCCTGCAATACATTCCCTTCCTAATGCAAGACAGGACTCTGCTTGCTTTGTTTACATCAGCCTGGCACTGCACGCTGTTCTTCAATCTGCGGTCTATAATGACCCCCAAATCTTTCTCCGTTTCTGACTTCCCTAGTGGCACATCCATAAGTATATAGTCCATTTGCCTATTTTTAACTCCAAGGTGCATTACCTTACATTTATCGACATTGAACTTCATCTGCCATTACGCCGCACATGTTACATGTCGCAGTGAGAGCAAACATTTTAGGGCCATCAATCACTGATAACATTCAACTGATGAGCGGTAAAAGCTTTTAAAGCGTCGCCCATGACCAATTTTGGGTATGGTAGTTTTTTGCGATTTCACGGATGCGCGCAATTTTAAAGCTTGGCATGTTTGCTGTCTATTTACCCGACGTGATCCCGTCCTTTACATTTTACCAAAAAATTGCTTAATAATAAATGTTTCATAACATAATGAAAAAAAAAAAAATTTACTGTCAAAATATTCAGTAATTTTTCCTTAACTGCCTCCGGGCCGGTCGTAGTAAAAAAACGGCCAGCCCGGAGCTCTCTAGATCTGAGCGGGCGTCTTTAGACGTCCGCTCAGACACACCCCCTTGCGCGCGCCGCCGGGCTCGCGCGAGCGGGAAATGGCCGCAATTTAAAAACGGGCAGCAATGCCCGTTAATATACATGCGATCAAATACCACAAAAAGAAAGCTCTATCTGTCCCAAAAAATGGTATAAAATTCAATTCAGTACAGCGTTTCATGACAGAATAAATGACAGTCAAAGTACCGCAGCACTGAATACTGAAAAATGGCCTGGATGGGAAGGGGGTGTAAACATCTGGTCAGCAAGTGGTTAACATTACATAATTGGGAAATAGGCCAGATTTTTAAGCAAGTAAACAGCAATAAAAATCTCAGCAGCAAAATTATGTTATGTAATGGGAATGAGAACATGTAACAAATATAAAGTAGGGAGGGAATTTATCAAAATTGGAGCAGACAGAATCTAGAGCAGTTGCCCGATGGCAACCAATCCGCTTCTCTCTTCAGTTTGCTTAGTTAGGATTTGAAAATGTAAGAGAGAAGCTGATTGGTTGCCCTGGGCAATTGCTCCAGATTGAGTCTGGTCCAGTTTTGATAAATTCCCCTCTATAAGCTTAGTTATTATCTGAGCGTTTAAATGATAAGAACCTAAATCTTAAATAAAACAACAGATTTTCATAAATTCTGCTGTAAGAGTTATCACAATCTGGCTGCAAAAGCGGAAATACACTTTAAGTCAGCGTTATTTCAGGATTCAGAATTAATTCTGCTGTGACGTTAAAGATCTAAACAAGATACACACAACTGACTTAATCAATACAGTATAAAAGCTTCAGACACATACGCTGATCATCACGTATGCAGCAACTGCAATGTGTTCCAGTGTAACCCTTTAAATGTTTAAATGTTAACAGTGACCAATAGAAGAGCACCACTCAGCTCAGTATACCTATCACTGACCAATCAGAATTTCCGTCGAAGACCTTGGTCACATGTGTACACAATATGCCATAGGCTGCGTCAATTCAACTGTTTCCCAATAGGAATCTGGCAAGATCACGCTCGACCAATCATCATCCACGTTAGCTCGTCGCGCGGCCGGTTTGATCGCGGTGCCTCAGGAACAGGGAAGATGGCGGAAAGTTTGTGACCCGGAGCAGCGGGGAGCTTGGGCGACTGTGCACCGGAGCCGCCATGGTGTCTTCCTACAATGTGGTGTTACTGGTGGATGCCGCAGACTCGGCCTCGAAGGACCGGATTAAATTGCTGTCCCTGAGGCTGCTCAACTACCTGACGTGTCGGGTAGGCCTCGGACAAGTCCGCTGGAGTTATCGCTTCCTGAACTCTTCGGGGGGCCGCTGTAGACCTCCCCGTCGTTCGGAGTTGAGGGAGCTCGGGCCTCGCAGCTGGGATGAATTCGAGGAGGAGCTGGAGGCCTGCTGGGAGGGAGGCCGGAGCAGCCGAGCCTCAAGTAATACCCGGCCAAGCCGGCCGTGGTGAGGGGGCGCCGGGGGAGGCTGATCTCCGTGGAGGAGCCTCTGAAGGCTGAGCCCCAGGCCGGCTGTAAGAACGCCGTGTTCCTCCTCTCTCCCTGTCCGCACACCCGGGACCAGCTCCGACACTTCACCGCCGCCTCCGGACAGGACATCGGCCTCCAACAGCTGATGGACAGACTTCTGCCCCGGGGCCTGCAGACCATCGCCACCAGCAAGAGGGTCACTCTGTACTGGCTGGACACCTCCGACTGGGCTCAGGTGATCCTCATCTATAGTACACTGGTTCAGATCACTCCATACTGGGATTTAATGGGCAGATCTGACCTCTGTCACCCTACAAATCCCAAACCCCATTCACATCTATGGAGGCATCACAACCCACACACGTAGATGTTCATTGGCCTATAACGTTCCTTTAAAGTGACACTAAACTCAGGAGTTAAATCTTATAAATCCATTCAAGTACCTTAACTATGAGCAGAAATGTATCTTATGTGTGTATCACTCGGCTGTAGATCCTCAAATCATCTCTGAATTGGTGCTGACACTGTCCTTCCTTCTGGAGGGTGGCTCTTTTGTTCCCCATGGTCCCTGTGTGTGTTTATAAAGTAGTCACCGCTCCAAGAACGCTTATGTGATGGACTACAATCTCATGTTTACTCATTTGTATTGAGATTGTAGTACATCACGGGAGTGAGTTGGAGCGGTGGCTACTTTACAACACACACAGGGACCATGGGGAACAAATGTAGGCACCCTCCAGAAGGAAGGACAGTGTCAGCACCAATTCAGAGATCATTTGATGATCTACAGCCGAGTGATACACTAATAAGATGCTTTTTTGTTAATTAAGGTGTTTAACTGCATTTGTGAAGATTTAACTTCTGAGTTTACTGTCACTTTACAGAAGAACCCCGGGGAAAGTTAGTAACCCTTGCAAAGGGGCTACCGCTGCACTGCACGTTGTATTTGCTCTTTTTGTTCAGGTTCCAAAAATAACAGTTATGCTCACCTGATCCTGGAAGTCCTGTTTGATAGCAATCCCTGGAGCCTCTCTGCTGCAGTTATCTAAGGTCCTGTAAATCATCACCTTCTATACACAGTGCATAGGATGTGAGGACTCTGAGGGACATTCTATCGCTGCAGCATTGGAGGAGACGGGCTGGATGAATCAGTCTCAACCATCAGGCTCAGGGGACCAAGTGAGTATAACTTTATTTTCCTCCCTAGACCAAAACAAGCACTTAAAGGTGAACTATGGGGTCAGTGTTTTCCCCCATAGTTCTCCTAAGGGTCACGGGAGGACATACACTAGCGTCTTCCTGTAACCCAAAGCTCAGTATATTGCGAGCTACAGCTCGAGGTATACTGAGAGCGCCGCATCCGGGACAGATCCCGACATTACTGTTGAGATCCAGCCAGCTGTGTGAGTGCCAGCCCCCTCCCCTGTCCGTTCCTCCAGTCAGCGACAGTCTCATTGTCACAGGTCGGCTCGAACTATGAGGTTGAGCGAAATTCACTCACCTCCTAGTACTCCTTTAACCCTGGCAGTGCGGGGAATAGCCCCACTGCAAGGGTTAATAATAATTTTCCCAGGGGTTCTGCTTTAAAGGGTGAGTTCACCTTAACATTGCTTTTCCTAGAAAAAGTACCTGTGCATTCCACGCAGGGTCCCTTCCCCAGGGCGACACGGTGGCAGTCCCTGTCTTTCCTTGAGGAAGGGACCCTTGACGGCCTGAAATGTTTGCTATTCTGACCTGTGTGAGGTTATTTGACATAAACATAATTTTCTTTGCATTTTGGAGGCTGGTGACACATCTTCACATCTGAGGTTGTGCACGCCGCCATCCATGTCTTCCATCTTATTTACATTGGTCACAATGCTGCGCAGTAGGCACTTTCAACAAGCTGTCATTTTTTGGGCGCATTGGCTGCCTGGATCCTGGGGTCTGTCTAGCTCCTGGTCTAATTACATGACAGACTAGAGTTTGTAGATCTGAACTAGATGGAATGGGATCTCTACCGGAAATGCATTTCCACTCAGGAAAATAGACAAGTGTTGGGGCTCATTCACACCAGGTGCATTGAACATCTGGATCAGTGCGGGCTCAATACAAAGCCACAGAGGAATTTTTTTGGATTAACCCTTTCAGTTGGGCTACCCCTACAATGCAAGGTTTAATTGCTCGTTTGTGTCTAGGTTTTAAAAAAACACCCCCAAAACTCAGAGCCGGCTCCTTTCTTGGAACGGTTCCTGGAATGTCTCTCCCTGCACTCTGCAGCGTTCTATGGCCCCGTAAATTATCACATCTATACACTGCATAGACCTGAGGAACATTCCAATGTGCTGCTGCGGAGGAGACAGGCTGGAGGGAGAGCTGCGACAGCTGGCCGGCTCGGAGCTTTGGGTTAGTATAGCTTTGTTATTTTACCCCTGGACACAAACAAGCAAAAAATCCTGTGCTGTGGTGCAGTATTGTTGAGTTGGTTCTTTGGGTGCAATTCAAATGGCACCATGTATGTTGGCGCAACATGGCAATTGATTAATGATGAAGTTAGTGATTTCCATCAGATTGGACAAATCCTTATACATATGTTCGAGCAAAGGGGGGGAAAAAGCCCTAAATTTTTTGTGCGTGTTTTCCTCGTGTATACTAAGTTGCACATTTTCGTAAGCAGATCTGACATGTTGATGTAAATGGGAAACATGCGCAAAATAATTGTGTTGCGTGTTTTCTATTGAGTCTAATGGAACAAATTGTGCTGATCTGCCCAGAAAAGAAGCTCATGCAGTTTTTCCAGTGGCAGGCTTTTTGTATGCGTGACTAGTATACGCTTGGGTGTGAGTGGGGGCTATAGGAGCAATGGTATTTTTCCTGCTGTGCGGTTCAGTGTGCACAAATATGTAAGACAAAACGCCATGGTGCAAAAGGGATCCTTATTAAGTCCAGCTTTTTTCATTAAAGACAAATAAAAGAAAATATATTTTGGGGTTTTGGCGAGCGTTTTTCTATCATCTGGCACAGAGACAGACGTTTCTCCATGGGTGTCTGTTCCCGAGCTGGAAAACCACTATAAACCAGAGGACAGCTTTGACAGAGCAAATAAAGCGTTTTGTATTTCAACTTCCAAAACCTAAATATGACAAATGTCTTGATAAACAGAGAATGTCACTGATTGTTTTTTGCTCATATTTTATGATGATGAAGCCATTTGCTATGTATGTCTTTATTTTGTAGATTTGGGATTCCTGTGATCATTATGGGTACTGGAAAATGGTGGAATTGATGCAGTTGGTTGGTGGTAGAATTTTGCCATCTGAGCCTTTGTTGGAACCTGCACTCCAGCAAGTGTCAGCGAGGCCTCACGCTCATGGATCACCGTTAAAGATTCCTTGTGATTCTGTGCTGAGTTCTGTAATCGGCAACGATTGGGAAATGAAAAGCCGATTTCCTCAGCAGAATGGCACTTTGTATTTTACAGCAGCTGGTAAGTTTGTTTTCCTTTTGAATTCTACTGAAATGTTAATCTAGTGTTATATGGTTTACAATAAATTGGGCCTGGGCTCAATTTGTGATCAGCATTCTAGGCAGCTTGTATGTTTGTTTCTAATATACCAAAGTAGTAGTAGCTAAAGTAAAGTCACACTGACAAATGTTGTAAGAACTTGCAAAGAGCGGTGATTTTATTGTAGCTCGTAGTAGCCTTTTGCTGTTAAAGGTACATGACAATAAAAAAGGAAAATATTGTGACTTAAAGGCGAACTATGAGGTGAGTAATTTCCACTCATCCTCATAGTTAGAGCCGACCTGTGACAAGGGAGCTGTCGCAGGTCGGCTCTGTCGATCGGGAAGTGAGCAGAAACATGCACCGATCTGCTCACTTCCCGATAGTCTCCCTGCAGTGAGCGGTGACTGTCAGTCATGGCTGCCCGCTGGGATTCCCCCCTCCCCTGTCCGATCCTCCAGGGCTGACTGGAGGAACGAACGGGGAGAGGGCGGGCACAGCTGGCTCTGTCTCTAGATAGGCAGAGCCTATTGTCAATCACGCAGCTGGGTGGATCTCGACAGTAATGTTGGGATCCGTCCCGGCTGCGGCGCTCTCAGTATATCGTGGGCAATAGCTCACTATATACTGAGCTTTGGGTCACGGGAGGACGCTAGTATATGTCCTCCCGTGACCCTAAAGAGAACTATAGGCGAAAACACTTACCGCATAGTTCTCTTTTAAAACCAGTCATGATTTTGTTCTCGCATAAAGTAAATCCTTCATATGTAAACTGTAGGAATATCAATCTTATCACCTGATAGAGAGTATTCAGTTTTCATTTTGCACTATAAGCAGAATACTTGTCACAGACTGACCTTGTTGAAGGTCACACTGGGATCCAAGCCACAGCCTTGTGCATTTTCAAGATAACTAATATAAAATTAACATAGGTTTTCTTATTATATCCAGTAGGCAATGACAGGTTTTAGTTAAAGAGCATATTGGCATTTCTATGCTTTTTAACATATTGTTTTTAGTAATGGGGGGTTGTTATTGGATGGGAAATGAGCATCCTCAGCCTATGTCTGCAATCACCACAGTATTAAAAGGGAGTTTACCCTTGTTATCGCCCGCAAGTCGGCGGACTGGATATGTTTTTAGAACACTTGTGTTAAGAAAGTATAATAGTATATGGGTCCGTCATGCTTTTCTTTTTCTTTTGCTAACACAGTGGTTTACTGTTGCATTGGCAAATCAAGTAATAATTTGTGCACTCGGCTGTACAGTGACATCTTTCCTGCATCGCCTTAAGATTTTCTGTCGTTTAAAAGACCCAGAAGTGAGCTTTCATGGTGCCTGGAATGTCATCTGGCTACTGGATGTCCGGTCCTTGGTGGGACATCTTTGTCAGCAAAGCGACCTACCCTTGTGCACTGCCAAATGTAACGGAGCAGGGAAAGCCGGCTCCTGCAAGTGTGCAGTGTGGTTGTTCACCCATTTTATGGCAACTAGGTCTGAGTGGGGTAAATTTCAAGGAAGGAATACAAGGACACTAAAGCCAGTAATTGTGGAGATTTGAGATGTATATGAGGATAAGAAAGCTGTCTGAATGGATGCATTTAGGAGGGGAGTACTTGAGATGGCTTTATATATGTATACGAGGATAAGAAAGCTGTATGAATGGATGCATTTAGGAGGGGAGTACTTGAGATGGTTATATCTATCTATCTATCTATCTATCTATCTATCTATCTATCTATCTATCTATCTATCTATCTATCTATCTATATCTGTGGGAAGGGAGTGATAACTATGTACATAAAATTAAAAGCTGCATTGTGGCTAGTTCTGATAATTTGAGTAGGCTTATCCTTACTTATAGTACCTCACAGTTTACCTGCTCCCTATGAAACCTTAAATGATTGCAAACCATACCATATACCTTCTCTACTCTTATCTGTGCCATAGTTCTCTTTAGTATCACTGTTTGGTTATATTTCCTTGGGGCTCTTCTTTACAAAATGCTTTATTTTGTAGGTGGAATGGAGAAGTGGGAATGTGCTGTTCATTTGGAACCTGTTTCTGTAAATCAGAAACACTTCAAGAGTTTAATTAAAATCATTTTAAAAGGAACAATTCAAAACTGGAAATGGCATCAAATGGGTGGTTTCTCATTGGACACCTGGGTTCTTCAAAATGTGCCCAACAGTTGTCAGACACCGAGCTTACCCTTCCAGCAGTTGCTTTCTGCTGCCACGTCCAAAGGGCTGCTCTTGGTAAGTTGAATAGCTGCCATTTTCTAATACATTGCAATATCAGATTATTCCTACTCCTATTTTTGTTGTGTATATATCTTGTTTTTATAGCTATGTGTTGGGTGGATTATATGTTAAAAACAAAAACTGACCATCCTAAGATATCTACGGTTTTATAAATGATTACTCGCTGATGTTTTCTAGTTTAAGTACTTGGCATTTAGTTTTTTTTTGTAGTGGCTCGCCATGGCTGTATATTTCAAGGGACTTGGGTTCGCCACTATTTTTTTGCAGACTTAAGTTCCTTATTAATATGTAGACATTCTGTAGCTGGTTTTAAAGAAGAAAATCACTAGGATGTCCAAATGCACAGATGACTGTCTGAAGGTTTTTTTTTCTACGTTTACTAGAAACTGCACTAGATTGGTGTACAGTAGCAGCTTGATCGCTTTGATCATCATTATTATAGTTACCCTAATGTAAGAATTTATTGGGCAGTGGATGGAACATCTAAGACAAAGAATATTTAGATACTTAACCACTTCAAGACCAGGTGTTTAGACCCCCTTCGTGGCCATGCCATTTTTCAGTATTCAGCGCTGCGGTACTTTGACTGACGTTTATTCCGTCATGCAACGCTGTACTTAAATGAATTTGATACCATTTTTTGGGGACAGATAGAGCTTTCTTTTGGTGGTATTTAATCACCACTGCGGGTTTTATTTTTTACTATAATTAGGAAAAATTACTGAAATTTTTTTTACATAATGTCAGAAACCATTTATTATTACCCAGTTTTTTGTAAAATATAAAAGTCGGGGTCACGTCGGGTAAATAGACACCAAACATGTCAAGCTTTAAAATTACGCACACCCGCGACATCGCAGAAAACTACCATACCCAACATTGGCCATAGGCAACACTTTAAAAGCTTTTACCGCTCATCAGTTTAGTTTCATCAGTGATTGATGGCCATAGAATTATTGCTCTCACTCCGACGTTCGCGGCGATATGTAACATGTGCGGCGTAATGGGCGCAATCGTCTTTTTTGCACATATGCGCCCCCGACGCATGTTTGCATGCGTGTATGTATGGGTGGGGACTTAAAAACATTATTTTCTCTCCCGTTCATTGAAGGACACAGGCAACAGATCGTAGATCCTGAATGGTAGGGTAATATCGCCACCTGCAGGAGAAGGACGCTAGGCACAAAACTAAAAACCAATCACAGCCTAGGGGCGGCCCCTGCCGGTGGCCAAACCCCCCACCTGCTGACAAGTCTCCAGCTTTTTGCCTAGCGTCAGGAGTAAGGAGCTAAAAAAATTTCTCTGGATACATTTTTTTTCCCTTCTTCCGTTTGACTCGATTTCTTCTAGCAAGTGTCCCCAGGGCGACATGCTGGATGACTGTAGATCCTTGTAGTCTCCCCTGGGTGACCGTCGAGCGCATGCAGACTCTGCCACGGTGGGTCAGCTGCGCCATGTGGTCCCTCCTGACGCCTGTGGGTTCGTCCCGAGGAGTGCATATGACAGGGGGTCCAGGCCTGCCTGTCACAGCACTCCCCTGAGGCTGGTGACGCCGCGGCTACGGTCGGGGGAGTCTTCCTACCGTTTCCCTACTCGTCCTGGATCCTGGTTGTGGAGTCCGGCCTTCGCTCTGCGGGGGTATGTGTGTGGGGTCTGCGGTGGATGTGTCGTGGGGACCTGGAGCTGAGGTAAGCTTTGGCTGCGCTGTTCTCTCACAGCTGCAGCCTCCTGTCTCCCCCCTGCCTCATGCTGCTCAGGCTTCAGTGGGCCGTAGATGGGCTCCTGTGCGTGCTGCCTTGGTGGGGACTTAGGCTCTGGGGGAGCTTCTCGGGCCCCCTCCGTGAGGTAAGCTTTGGCTGCGCTGTTCTCTCACAGCTGCAGCCTCCTGTCTCCCCCCTCCCCCCTGCCTCATGGTGCTCGGGCTTCAGTGGGCCGTAGATGGGCTCCTGTGCGGGCTGCCTTGGTGGGGACTTAGGCTCTGGGGGAGCTTCTGGGGCCCCCTCCGTGGGGCAGCCGGATCCGCGGCTGACGCTGCTCGTTCGGCGGCCACGGCCGCTACTCGAGGCCCCGGTCTGATTGGGGCCTCCATGCGGTTCGGCGGCCGCCATCTTGGATGTGGGCAGGCGCCCTTCCTGCCTCTGGATGCTCAGGCTTCGGCCCGTGGTCATCGTTGGGCTCCTGGATGGGCATCCGAGGGGTCTATGGCTCTTGTGGAGCTGCTGTGGCCGTTCCTTTCGTTTTGAACAACATCCGCGGCCGTCGCCGCTCGCTCGGCGGCCACGGCCGCTAATTGAGGCCCCGGTCTCATTGCGGCCTCCAGGCGGCTCCGCGGCCGCCATCTTGGATGAGGGCAACTTTGCCCTTTCTCCTTTGTCACTTCCGCCCGGGCTTCCTTCAGCCTCGGGCGGATGGGGAGTGTGTTCCTTTCGGCCCCGGACGCCTTGACGGAAGGACACACAGTGTGCAGCTCTCCTCTGCCTTGCGGAGTCGGACGGCTGGGCTGGGACAAGGACGCTGGGGGTCGTGAGTAGCGGGGTCCCTGTCTCCATCTCCCTTGCCTGGTGGTCTGCAGTCGGTGGGGTGGTTTTGTGCGGGTGTGCAATGTTCGCAGGGATGACGCCCCTACATTGCCTTGTGTGGGCTGTGGGCAGCGCTCTGCGGACCCCTCTAGATCCCCTCTTGTGCGTCCTGTACACCTGCGCTGCCTTTGCCAGTCGCCCGTGCGTCCCTCTGGTTATTCAGGGGAGGTGGGGGGTACCGCATTGTCCCTGGAGTCCTTTTCCTCTGTCACGGACGGTTTTTGTAACGCGCATGGAGCGCGCCTTGACGCAGCGGCCACCTGGAAAGCGGGCTTTTACCCTTGCCATCCCCTGCCTTGTCAGGGGAGTCTGAAGTGGAGGGGGAACTTCCCGCGACGGCTGAGGCACTTTTGTGGTCTCTGCCTCGGGCGCGCTCATGCGTCTGGTCTTGGCGTCTGCTTTGGTCTCTCAGACTCTGAGTGGGCTAAGATGTTACATCAGGGGCTTGCGGAGGAGAATGTCTCCCCCGTTTTCGTGGAATTGGCGGACCAGTTAGTGCAAGGCCTTCGCGATGTCTGCAATTCGGCCTTGGATGCGGCGCCCTTGGTGTCCAAGGTGTCCAAGGTGTCGGCGGTGATACTTCGCCGTTCGCTCTGGCTTGAATGCTGGTCGGCTGATATGGCTTCCAAACAGGCTCTACAGGTGTTGCCTTTTACTGGGGACCGTTTGTTTGGTTCCACCTTGGATGGGATCATTGAGGATCTGGCAGGGGGTGAGAGTGCCTTCCTTCCCCAGGCGCGCAGGAAGGAGCAGCGCCGTAGGCCTGGGCCTACTTTCTCCGCTCACAAGCGGCTTTTTTCGCCCCCCGACAAGGGCGGTAAGTTTAGCAAGTCCTCCTCTTCCCACTCCTCCAAGCGTCCGTGGCAGCCCGAGTCTGCCAAGCCCGCCAGCAAGCCCCAGTCCGCATGAAGGTCGGGCCCCTACTCTGGTTCCCAGGGTGGGGGGGCACCTTCAGCTCTTTGCGGATTTTTGGTTGGCCCACGTTTCCGACTCTCTTGGGTCCGGGAGCTGGTTTCTTCGGGCTACAGTATCGAGTTTTCTGTCCCGTCCGGGAAAACTGTTTTTCCCGTCCAACACGCGACTCGGATCTCCGTCGCGCTGGGGTGGACCTTTTGTCCCAGGGGGTGATTGTGCCAGTTCCGTCCTCAGAGAGGGTCAAAGGGTTTTATTCAAACCTATTTACTGTGCACGAGAAAGAGGGAGTGTGGCCCATCCTGGACCTCAAGCGTTTGAACACCTTCGTGCGGGCCCGTCGGTTCCGGATGGAGTCGAACGGGTCCGTGGCGGCCTGGCTTCGTCAGGGAGATCTTCTGGCCTCCATCGATATTCGGGTTGCATACCCTCATGTACCCGTTTGCGAGTCTCATCAGCGGTATCAGCGGTGGGGGAGGACTATTTTCCGTTTGTGGCGCTGGCGTCGGCCCCACGTGTTTTCACCAAGGTGCTGGCCCCGATTCTGGCGCTGTTGCGTTGTCGGGGGGTTTCGATCGTGGGGTGCCTGGACGATCTGCTCCTACGGGCGGAGTCGCATTCTTCAATGGTGACGGCTCTGGGGGGTCACGGTGCGGTCCTTGGAAGAGTTTGGGTGGCTGCTGAACATGCGAAAGTCTTGCCTGGTGCCCTCTCCACGCCTGGAGTATCTGGGTTTGGTTCTGGACACTGTCGCGGCCCGGGTCCTTCTCCCTCGGGACGAGCTCCTGAAACTCCAAGGTCCAGCTACTGAGGACTCGCCAGTGGTCGCCCATACGGTTTTGCGTGCAGGTCCTGGGTCTCATGGGGCCTCCTTCGAGGCGGTGCCCTTTGCGCAACATCATGCCAGGACTCTGCGGGGAACATCCTGGTACAGTGGGACAAGTCCCCCCTGTCCCTGGACAGGGAGATTCGGATCTCTCGGGAGGCAAGGACCTCCCTGCGGTGGTAGCTCCAATCTCTGGCCTTGGTGCGAGGGAAGTCCTTCCTTCCCGTGCACTGGACGGTGGTCACCACCGACGCCTGCCTTTGGGGCTGGGGCAGGGTCCTGGGCTCCTTGACCGTGCAGGGTCATTGATCGTCGGTGGATCCGGGGGAGTGGTCTCTGCACCCAGAGGTTTTTCGGCAGCTAGCCCGTGCGGTTGTCCGCCTTTGTGTTTTTTTTTGTTTTGGGAAGCTACTGCTTCTTTCCGCGGGACCGACTCCCTGTTCGTGCTCACGGAGGGTCCTCCAAAGGGTCGGGCCGCGTCAGCGGCTACCATCTGTAGGTGGATACGTACCGTTGTGACTCAGGCGTACGCCGTTAAGGGGCGTGAGCCTCCGTTTCCTGTCACTGCCCATTCTGCTAGGGCTGTTGGGGCTTCCTGGGCTTTCCGCCCCTTGAGGGGTCTTTTGGGTGTTTTGTTGTTGCCCATCCCTCAGTGTGTTACTGCTTGGTGACGTCCCTACCATTCAGGATCTACGATCTGTTGCCTGTGTCCTTCAATGAACGGGAGAGAAAATAGGATTTTTGTACTCACCGTAAAATCCTTTTCTCTCCGTTCATTGAAGGACACAGGCCCTGCCCTCTTTATGGGGTGTACACTCCTAACTGCTTGTTACTAAACTGGAGACTTGTCAGCAGGTGGGGGGTTTGGCCACCGGCAGGGGCCGCCCCTAGGCTGTGATTGGTTTTTAGTTTTGTGCCTAGCGTCCTTCTCCTGCAGGTGGCGATATTACCCTACCATTCAGGATCTACGATCTGTTGCCTGTGTCCTTCAATGAACGGAGAGAAAAGGATTTTACGGTGAGTACAAAAATCCTATTATTTTTATGTGTAACTTACATTTTTTGGGGGGGGACTTTAATTTTTTTTCAAATTTTTTTATATATTTTTTTCACTAAACTTTATTGCTATCACATATGGGGGCTAATAAAACCCCCCTATGTGATGGCAAAATATGTGACAGGTCCTCTTTATGGAGACATCAGTGGTCTCCAAGACCCCTACTGTCACCTAGGACCCCGCAAAAGAAGCTGATGAAGCACAGATCTGCTCCATCAGCTTTCTTTCCAGCTCCCGCCCGAGAAAATGAAACTGTTCGGGCGTCCGCAAAGCATCTTGGGGCGGGCGCATGCGCAGTTTTGGATTCTCGGCCGGGAGACGAGCAGAGACGTAAGGTAAGTCTATGGACGCGTGCACCCGCATGCAGACACAGCTGGATTGGAGGGACGGAGCAGTCAGCGCTGGATCGGAGAGCCGCCGCACCGCTGGAGGGACAGATGAAAACATCAGGAAAGAAGATCGGATTAAGAGACATCATTTAAGGTAAGTGCTGACATTAACATTAGGGGAGGGGGAAAAAATGTATCCTTTAATGTCACTTTAATGGTATGAATGCAATAACATTTAATCTCTCATGTTTATGACTTAGTGAATATTTTTTTTACCAGGTTGCAGAGGTAATCACAGGGGATGAATTGTCTCTGAATACCGGCATCCTGTCTCCAATTTCTGGAACTGCAGCAGTTCTTAGTGTAATCAGGAGTGGTGAATCTCTAAAACTTGACAGTTCTTATCTCGATGAAACTGGAAAGGAATGCAGTGAAGAAATTTCATCTGATCTCCCAGATATTGTGAACAGCGTCCTTCGCCATGTTTATAGGTCCGATGAGAGCATAAAGTCACCGGGTAAGTCGTCTTTATTTTAAACACCAAAGACGCACCTCATACATCTTTCCCGGCTAGGTGCAATCCTAAAAGCATAGTTGCATTGGCACACGCTGTCATATTACATAATAAACTAAGCCCAAGTGTTCCAGCTGGCTCTTGTGTCTATATCGCAAGTAAAAATGTGCTGCTGAATTATTAGGCCCACAGCAAAAATGGGTCTGGAGGTGTGTACGCCAACGGCTATATTAGATCGGAAATGCAAAAATAGCTCTGGAGGTTTAAGCCAATGGTTTAGTGTGTGTGTTGTCACTGAAGTTTACCCATAGTTTACTTTACTGAAGTCAGCGCCATACACTGTAATATTTTCTTAGTCCAACCTGTGGGCTGAATGGAGAAAATATTAGATCCTTCCATCAATGCTTAAGGGCGCTGATCGAGGAATCTCCTGCTGTCTTCATTGTATGCGGGCAGTGGCCGCCGGCCGCTTTCAGAATATCCGAACAGAGCCAGCAGCTCGTTGGTTGCCCGCTCTCTACGTTTGAAGATCCGATCGGCTGTCAGTTGATCGAGGCATGCTAGTTGAAAGGCGCCAAAAGCAGCACCCACTGTGCGAATTTCATCCGTATCTTGATGAAATTTGTATAGTGTATGGCCAGATTTAGTCAAGGCTCAGATCGTAAAGGAGTAGCATCTGACTTGATATCACCTCCAATCCATAAACTCCACTGGTTAAACTCACAGCGCTGTATGACCTCCCGATCTGAGTGCTAATATGAAGGTAATAACAGGAGGGTGGTACAAAGACAGATTAAGCATACCTGAATTAGATGAGGGTGGGTTGTCTTTTTATACTGTATGTACCTATAATTAGACCTTAACATCTGTGGGCAGTTTATTCACTGTAATGGCAAGTGTACTTGTATATTTATTAAATATAACAATTTATAGTGCTAGAAATGAACTATAACAAAATGGATATTTATAAAAAAAAGATTTGGTAATGCCTTTTTTCTCACAGATGTTGCTATGCCAGAGTGGATTAAACAAGAATTGTCACAAAGCAGTCATTGGAGCTCTTCAGTTATTGAGAAATGGTACCCAATATCTGGAACCTCTGGGGCTAGCAGCAATTTAATGGAATCCTTTAGGTGGGAACATGTATATGTTTGCGCTTTTCTTTTATGCATTTTTATTATAGTTGTCCAACCTGCATAGCTCTCTGTTAGTTATGAATTGGATTACTTGTTGTTTTTCTCTGTTCTGTTTGGTACAAAGGGTAGGTAATCAGTTTCTCTGTGTTAGTATCCCATATGCGTGTGTTTCTCCCAATATGAGGTATCTACCATTTCTGCTCCATACAAGTAGCTTGCTCTCAGTTTAGTCATACATAATTTTTTTTCCCCATTCATATGATCTGAATGGGTATCACATTTTCAGCAAGAGGGAGGCGTTTAAACATATTTGCAGGTTTTTGATATGTATCCACAGTTATGGCAATGAGGGAAGAGTATTTTGGTAATTTTTTTTTTTGTGAAGATATTCAAAATTTTTAAGGGTTGTACTGAAGTTCATTCAATATACAATAATCAGGATTTCTTTTATATCACAAATTAGGCTGATAAGTGCAGCATCATTTGATCAAGATGAGCACAGATATGATCAAGACATAACGCATAATTTGTCAGAGGGCTATCAAAAGAAGTCAAGTGAGGAGTCCGGAAGCATGACCCAAGGAGACAACCGAAAGAAGCGTAAGTCTCCTTTTGTGGTGCTTTGTGATTTGACTAGGTATAGATGTTTTCGCACTGTGCAGACACCACCAAACCCAGTCTTAGCGGCTACTACAGCAGTGGGCTGAAAGTTTCAAAATAGTCGAATTGATATTTTGCTGTTACTAGTCAGCCAGATGGGGGTCTATAGAGGTTGTGATTTGCCTGTAAATTTGTAGTACCTCTTTTGCCTGGCAAATATACTTTATCAAAAAAAATTCCATCATAGGCTAAGATATTGTGATTTAAAAAAAAAAAACAGCATTTGTAAATGGCAATTTGAAGGATTTGTAAATGACGTTGAATGAAGTCTAGTCAGGTTATCCTTCGTTTGATACCAGAATCCTGCTAGTTTACTGAGTTTTTAAAATGTCCTGTCTGTATGTTCAGGTCTTCCTCGTACTCCTGTGAGGCAGAAGATGAAGACCATGCCCCGTGCTCTGCAAATGTTAAATGCAGCCAGATTAAATTCAAAGGCTCAAAAATCACAGCCGGAGGGTGCACCCGCTGCTCCAGTTGAGAAGAGCTCACAAGGAAAGCGAAGATCTTCAGAGAAGCCTGAGCCTCCAACTAAGAAACCAACAGGTGAGAATTCATCTTTGTTATATCCGTATATGCTAAAAACCAAAAGGACCCGTTCACATTTTTGCAGTGTATTGCATTAGGGCAGTGCATTAATTTGAACCATGCATCTCCTCACACAGTGTCTGCAGTGCTCTGTTAGAAAGGTAGTTTTTATTATGACACACCTTATATCGGCTTCTCTACACAAACAGTGTATTGCCTGCTTCTCCCACAGACACATGCTGGTCTGCATCTAATAATGATTTTCATAACTGATTAGTTGGCCGATTTTTTTTTTTTTCATTTTTTTTTTGATCGGATAAAAAATATAAATGAAATACTATACTTAATTTAAAATACACTAATGCAGTGTTACAAACATACAGTTTACTTCAGAATAAAACTACATGCACAAATTTTGCAATCGGAACACAGGATTGGGGTACCGCACGTTCCAGTTTGAGCGATCACACTGTGGGTAGGTGGCGCGTTTGGGGTGCTATTGAATTTTATAAGTGTTTTTAATAATTTTATTGTAAACACTTGACGCTTGAAATAGCTGCTGCCAGTGGCCATTTCAAATTGCAATAGCAGGCTGGCTATTGCACCCGCCCACTGCTTGCTGTGCCCTCCTCTCGATGTGGAGAAGAGAGCTAGGGGATCCAACCAACTAATCGATATTAAAAATAGCTGACAACTATTCTCATTATCGATTTTAGTTGTTTGCAGCCCTAGTTAAAATGATTGTGACTTGGGCCAACACCTTTCTAAAACTAAAAGTGCTGACTTTGAAAGTACCTATGATGATTTTCAAATCATTCCTTCTGGAGCCCACTTGGATTCTAGGCTCAACCTGCACACAGGGCACTGACTTTTAGAATCTAGAGTAAGCCTCATCTTGGCACAGAGACCATTCTCTATCCAACTGCCAAATTCCAGAAACTTCATTGGGCAGTAGAAGCACTTGGATTTGACAAATCGAATGACACAGCTAAGATGCCATGAATGGGCTTGGTAGGATGTAACTCCTGTGTGCATGCGCAGGATTTACATCAGTGGCTAAAGAGCACTTCAGGAACCCCAAAGTGTTGGTGGCGGGGGACAGAGCTGAGAACCGATGACAAATCCAACAGCGCTAGAGAAGGGCACACTTATAAGGTAAATGTTACAAAGGGCTTTAATCTTCACTTGGGTAGTAGTCAAGGCTGTTTATTGCATGACTTGAGCGCTTCTAAATGCGTTTTTCTTTATTTAAATGTGAATCTGCTTTTAGTTCATCTTGTATGATATACCGGATTCTAGAACCAGAATTTATAGCAACACTTTTCTGTTGTAAAGTAACAGATGTTGTGCAGACAGGTGCCTGCACATACTATAGTTGTATGTTTTACTTACTGGGATCCCTAAACCTGAGTATTCTAATATGCAAATCATCATGTTTGCAAACACTAACCTGTCTTCCTTACACATCCCTCAATTAGTTGTTGATCAGATGAGAGACAGCCTCAGTTTTCTTTCCAGAGTTGCTGAAGGGTGTGAGCCAGCCCTTTACTTTCATTGTAAAAGTGAAATTTGTATATCAAAGTGCAGTCCATATATAGGTGCAAAAAATGCGGAACTAAACTATGGGCATGTACCCAATAACATTCCAGCGACTACTTTACCTGACCTTGCACAAGTTTACCTTGAAGTCATTAGGTGAATATTTGTCTGTCTGTATAAATACTGAGTTGGTAAATTGTGTTTAATTATTATTTCTCAGGTTTCAAGTCGGAGGATGAGTTGATTTCCTTTGTAAAAGAGGAGTATGATAAAGTGGTGTCTGGAGAAGATGTTTTGTTGCAGTCATGTGCCAGGAATGCCTTTACCACCGTTAAATCTTACCTGAAGACCGTAAGCAGCACACAAGTAGAGGTGAAGAAACGTGTTTACTTTATCCTCTACATTGGAACAGTAAGACAATGTTCTAAACAACTTTTTCTTTCTCGATTACAGGCTGACTGCATAGATAAAATCAGGCATCTCATGAAGACCAGCAAAATGATTCGCCAGCTTTATGGACAGAATCCAGACAAAGAAGCCAAGCTCCGAGAGTATGTGCATCTTGTAGTGTGCTTTTTCATAAAAATAAACACAAATTTACTATTCTTGTGACCTTGTGATGTTTTGGATTTAGATGTCGGATGCAAGCTCTGCTCAGACTGGAAATGTGTGTACAGTGCTCTTCAGTACTGGCTAATGAGGATGAACTGGAGCAAGTTGTTGAAGAGGTAAGTGTCAATTTTGGCTTTCTTTCTGTTCATTTGTACAGTACATGTATTTCTTATGCTTACTCTGAAACAGTGCTCTTGTTATGTTGGTACTATAATGTGCATGTATCACTTGTTTTAGGTTCTGTTCTAAAATTATTTTTTAGGTAACGGACATGCTACGGATTATTTCTCTGACAGAAGATCCATCCTTCTTGACAACATTTCTGGCAACTGTCCTGGCAGAGTATGTACTTTTCAGCATTGGCCTGTGTGATCTCACTGAAACATGTCTGTTTGTGCAGTGTTATGCAACCAATAATATCGGGTCACAAGATTTGGCTGTGACAGAGTAGACCAACTGCTTGTACTTTATATTGGGTAGTCTGCGCTAAGCAGGGAGAATTCCATGAAGTATTGCCAACTCCAAACAGACTTCTGCATCTAATGAATGGACTGTAAAGTGCAGGCCATACTGCTAACTATAATGTAGGGAAGGTAGCGATATCTGCTCTCCAATATAAATGAGTCCCCGGGGCAGGGGCAGCACTAGGAATGAGGTCGACTTTGCTGCATGCACATGTGCTGACAAGAGGAGTGGGCAGTGTTGACAACCTATCAGTTTGCTGCTGCTCCTTCATTATCCAGTCAGCAGGCAATAACAAGGTGACACAACTGTATTCCTTAACTCTAACAGGAAAAAGTGGTGTCTCCCTACTAGCTGTGTTGTCTGGGAGTAATGTAATCATTAAATTGGCTGAACAGAAATGCAGATCCTCTGGTAGATAAAGCTGTTCATATATATGTATTTCAACTGTTCTTTTGGAATTCACTTTTAAGATTTATACTATATGCTTGGGTTGAACTTCCTCCATAGACAGTATACTTGCAACAAGCTACCATCTCTTCAACTGTTATCTCCTCAAACATTGTTTTTCTTTTGGCAGGTACATAGGAAGCATACCCAAAATCCTGTCGGATATATATTTTAGCCTTGGCACGCAGATTCCTGAAGAGCTGGCGTTAGTTCTTCCTTTAGATTCCGATGACTCCTTCATACGTGAGGGGAAGACGCCCATGTATTCTCAGCCATCCATTTCCAGGGTTCCAAGTGTACCTCAGGTAGCTAATGAGGAAGATCAACTTGAAGAGCTTCGGACCAGATCAGCTAAGAAAAGAAGGTTTGTGTGGTTTTGGTTCCATATCTGTTTTAGATTCTGTTTTTCTTTTACATCGTAGCTCTCATGTCTTTTTCTTCAAAGGACAAGCACTGTGGCACGACACAGAAGTATAACTGATTCGTCTCAAACTCTGAGGCAAATTGACGTCACAAAGAAGCAAAAGAATAAGGTAGGAAATGCTATCACACCTACAATATTGAGCCAAAATCTACAATGTATATTCGTTTCACATAGAACAGGGTTGTCCGCTTTTTCCATGGACCAGGTTCTCATGTACAGGCCTGCCCAGTTTTGCTAAACTACTCCAAACCTGTCCACTTTCCGCATGTCTGTAACATGCACACTGTAATCATTTTAATGGTCCAAGATCAGAACTAGGAGGGCTGGTTAGACTCTGATGTACCCTGTTTCCCCGAAAATAAGACCTACCCCGAAATTAAGACCTAGTACCATTTTTGGGAATTGCTAAAATATAAGACCTACTCCGAAAATAAGACCTAGTTGTGACCATTCCCATGGCTGCTAAGGCCTGAGGGGGAACTTGAATAGCTGCAGGAGAGAATCAGCAGTGCCAATGAAGCCAGCGCTAGAGGAAGCGAGGTGGCAGCGCAGGGAGCACACCCGCATAAGCCGATGTTTCCTCTATACCCCCGGCTCCTGCAACAGGCAGAGTGATACCAAATGCACTCTGCCTGTGAGGAATCTATAGTGAAAGTAAGCTTCGCTTTTTCTTATTACCAAATTGCTCTTGCCCTGATCACCTTATTAACTTTGCCATTTTGGATTATTCAATTTGGATTTGCATTAACTTTGGATTGTTATACATTAAAAACAAAAATAAGACCTACCCCGAAAATAAGACCTAGTGTGTTTTTTTGAGCCAAAAAAAAATATAAGACAGTGTCTTATTTTCGGGGAAACACGGTAACACAGGATTTTTTACAGTTATCGAACAGATACGACGCAACATTCTCCATGGCATATTTAACAGATCAAACCGTAGCAAATAAGGGTACAGTAGTTGGGGTTCAACTTTAATTGTCCACTTGTAGTATATTGAGTAATCAGGTAAATAGTTAAATGGATCTTTTCGAATCCCCCAGTGTTATTACACCGTCCCTTCTTGCTCCATGTGTTTCATTTACTTGTGAATATAAAAACACTGACTACAATGCATGACAGGCAAATACTGGTTTATTAAAATTACCTTTTTAGTATTTAGAGTTCTTTTCTGCCCTACTTGCCTGCCATCCCGGCCCTCAGATTTAAACCTGACCTTTTTGTTTTATTTTAGGAGACCACTAATCTCAATCCTGTTATAATGGTGGAGAAACTAAAGTTACCACTGCCAGAACAGCCACAGAAAGAAGCTGAAGGTATGCCTCCCCTTATGTGATGCTCGATAATCATCATAAGCTTTTACATATAAGTCAGATTGCTTATTTTATGTAATTTGCAAGTTAGCCACATGGATACACGCACGCTGTTTTCAGCATCCGCAAACTGTGTCAGCTTCGCTAGAAAATTGTGGGGAATTGCAATACTGAGGCTGTCAGCACAGAAGCACGCACGTGCTTACTATACACTAGTAAGTATGCTACCAATAGGCAGCCTTGGATCAAGCTGGACCAAGAAACAGCTCTGCCAAATCCTTAGACAATCCTTCCTCGGCATGAAGTTATGACCCCCACTTTCCAGAGTGGAGGGACGGACTTTTGTTATACCTTGCAGATGCTTGAATAATTTACATCTCCAAAGCTTGAGTGGAGTGGTTGGTGTCCCAGGGCTCAAAATACCTTACCCCTACGCTTAGCAGATCTCCATCGAGTCCTCTTGTGTCTTTAAGATCAAGGTATCATTGCTTCAGTTCCTTTGAAATAATGGTCCTTGGACACATTGGTTTATTTGGGACCAAAGACCAGATTGTCCCTGGCTTATTGGCTCAGGAATACAGCTTTGGAATCAGGGATAATCCCTCATTCCCGTCTCTTGGAGAATACTTATGACAAACACCAGCATGTCGGGTTAGGAAAGAGTCCTAACCCGACATTTGCCAAATCCTTAGACAATCTCCAATAGGAGAGGGTATAAACCCGACAGAAGCATTTTTATGCTTCAAATGACTCCAAGAGAAGGATTTTGCAGTGAAATATATCTTCTTTCCTGGGTTTATAATGTTTACAGAGCAAGCACGGAAACCATAAATAAGCTACACATGTAGCTTGGTCATCATTGCAGCTACTCTACATTTAGAAACATTTAGTCAATGTACTTGAGCTCTGTGTAATCTGCTGCACACTTGCCGCTAGCTCCTCTCTTGCTGCTGAGATGGACTGCATTTGTGTTGGCCAATGATGTGCTATGCAAACTCTACTTCCTGAATGAGTTGCTAGGACCTTACAATAGGAATACCTACCCTTCAGTAACCAGGGTTCCTCAAATGTCACCAGTGGCAAGGTGATTTAGCATGTAAATTTTTATTGAAAAGTTTTACTACATACATACAGTTCGTATAACAAGATATAAAACAACAACATAACTAGTCATTGACCGACATAAATGAGAATAAACAGTCACTCATAATGTTAATGTTACACCACAATCAAGCCGTAAAGTCTTCGGGGGATAGGGGTACATATGAAATGGAAAGGGGACTAGATCATAACATAATATAGCTATAGGAGAAACATCGAAATTAATGCGCAGTATCGAATAACTCAGAACATGGGTACGAGTATTGCCATCGACCTTGCTATGTATCGGTGGACAACTTCAAGTGTGGCAGTGATCTTGTTCAGGTGAATGTGCAGTGTGTCTGCTATTATAGCAGATATATCTGCCTTCAGATGTTGAGACACTGCAGAGGCCAGGGCCGAGTAATCAATGGGGGAGACAGGGAGAGCTGATGGCTGTGCCTCACTCACCATGTCCTCACGAGGCGGCTCCTGCTACATCTCCTCTGACGCCATGTTGGGGTTGGCAGGCTCGTCACTCGTGTGTTCCAGAAGGGCTCTCCTCGCCCTCTGCGGGCGTTCCACATATTTGTCCATGGCGAGTGGGTGGTCCGGGGCTAGAGGGGCCGAAATTGCGTGCTCGGTGCGGCGAGGGAGTCAGGTATTGGAGCTGTGACGGGACGAGGGACGGAGAGGTGCCCTTACAGCATCGGGCGCCGGAACCGGAAGTCGGCAAGGTGATTTAAACCGGTGGGTTGATATCTGGCTTTGGTATAGATGCGCCTCTGATAATTTAAAGCTTGGAGCAGGTAGACAGTATTCACTGTATAAATTCAAGGTTTTAGCCAGCTTTGACTGGAGCAAACCCTTTACAAAATCTTCAATCATTTCACCTTTTTTCTAAATAGACCTATCAGATTAAATGCAATTCAGATATGCGTGTTAGACTGGAGTCGGGAAAAGATCTCATCCAGAAAATTACTGCTTCCTAGTCTCCACTTCAGCAGTGTAGCTGCTTTAGACAATTAAGCATCAAAGTAGTTGTGGATGCAATTAAAAGCATTGACAACTTTAGCAAGTATGATTTGATTATTAATGTGGCATTTACAACTCTTGTGACAAAATCAAATCTTTTTGAATAGTTTTGCTGTAAAAGTTTTACTTTCAGTTGAATTAGGTCTACACAGTACATTTAGTTGCTGTATCTAAAGATGAACTACGATGTGGCATGACCATAATCCATTTTTTCTCCTTAAAAGCCACAAAAGTGAGAAGGAATTTATTTGTCCAAGAGAACCGATCACCCACAAGAAGAAGCAGGATGCCAAGGAGCCAGTCTGTTTCTGCAGTGGAAGGCTTGAAACATAAACGAAGCAAGACTCACGATGGCACTAGAGGTAAAAATGCATTTATCTGATAGTTCACATGTGTTTAATTTATCAGTTTTATAAAACAACCAGTGATGTCTCACAGTGAATGAAGTTATATTTTTCCAGTCACATCTTTTGTCATTGACATCAGCTTTAACCTCTGGCCGTCCGCCCGTAGTAAAAAAACGGACGGACGGCACTGCTGCATTTGCGGGTTGCCGTCTCCAGACGGCAATTATTTTCTGCTCTAGCGGGCACGCACGGGCAGAAAAGACCCGACCATTAAACACATCCGTTACCGGGTGTCTGACATATAGGCGATCAGCAGGTCCATAGCCCGCCGATCGCCTATATGTGCTCGTTCGCGGCAATTCTCCAGAAGTACTGGAGGCGAGCATGGGATGATGTGTATTACATCACTTCCGCATTCACCTGTCAGTCATCTGGCTGCTATAGCCAGAGAGAAGAAGCTGATAAAGCAGATCTCTGCTTCATCAGCTTCTTTTGGGGTCCACAGGTGACATAAGGGGTCTTAGAGACCCCTAATGTCTCAAACAGTTCTGCTTAAAGGGAAATTCCACCTTTTGCACACAAAAAAAGTGCATTCATTGTTTTACATTTTTTTTTTGCTTAGAAGTTAGTAAAGCATTGCAGCCGTGCTCAGTAGATGGCAGGTGCAATGCTCTAGCTCCTGCAGACTGTTCCTCCCGCCCATGTTTGTACAGACATGCAGTGATATGGAAGGGAGGAAGTGTCAATTATTATTATTATACACGATTTATATACAGCCAACAGTTTGCGCAGCGCTTTACAATATAAGGAAGACATTACAATACAATTCAAGACAAGATGGTAAGGAGGGCCCTGCCCATGAGGGCTTGGGATCTAAAATGAGGGGCAAGTAATACATGAGGAGGTAGCTGTGTGGGCATGAATTGTTTGAGAAAGTGATATTTCAGTGGTTAGGTGGAGGCTGGAAAAGTTCCCATAAGAGATGAGTCTTAAGGGATCGCCTAAAGGCAGTCAGAGTGGGAGATAGACGGACATGTTGGGGTAAAGAGTTCCACAGAATGGGGTAGACTCTAAAGAAGTACTGGAGGCGAGCATGGGATGAGTTGACGAGGGTGAAGTGAGAGCAAGGAGGTCTTGGGAGGAGCGGAGGGGACGGTTAGGGTGATACTTAAGGACAAGGTTGGAGATGTAACCTGTGGCTGAGTTGTGAATGGCTTTGTAAGTGGTTAATATTTTGAATGTTATCCTTTGGGCGATTGGAAAACTTGAAAATACCAGACTAATATTTCAGCTTGACATCAGGCCTAAGCATAAGCAGTGTGCACAGTTCTGAACACTGTTGTTGATGTGCTGCAGGGTTAACCAGTAATCTTACGGCAAGGGGCGTTTTTCTTGTGGGATTAAAAAGGCATATTCAGGGGTGTGGAATTTGTATCGCCCGACGCCTGGGACATGTAGTTCCGGGCAAGTGTTTTTTTCCACTATTTTAGCCCTGCGAGCGGGGGGGGCGTAGAGTGCAGGGGGGACAGGGACAGAGCAAAAGGCGTGGAGCCGTGTTGGAGGTGACAGGGTCAATAAAGAGTACCTGTCACCTCCAAATGCTATCACACGGGATTATTATTCCCTGTGTGATAGCAATACAGTTACGTTTTTTTTTTTTTTTTTAAATAGTTACAAAGAAAAAGTAAAAAATAATTAAAAATGTAACTAAATAAAAATGTCAAAAAAATAAGGCGATTTAAGTAAAAATAATAAAACAAATGAAAAATGTTTACAAAGTAAAGAAAAATTAAAAAATGAAAACCAGCCCGCTGCCCCCATCTGCAAGCGAATAAACGTGCAGTGTTTTCAACTGCAACCGCTCGGGCAGGACGGTATTGCAGCAGCAAAACGCGCAATCTGCCTGGCATGACTGGGGTGCCATTAGAAAATAATGGCACTGCCAGCGCGATCGGCAGGGGTGTGCGATCTGTGACTGCCCGGTCATTGTGCACTAAACCGAGCAGATGGCTGGGTGGTCACGGAATCGCGCACCACCGCAGATCGTGCTGTCAGTGCCATTATTTTCTAATGGCACCCCAGTCGTGCCAGGCAGATTGCTTGTTTTCCTGCTGCAATACCGCCCGGGCAATCCTACACGATCACGGTTGAAAACACTGTGCGGTGCATGTCGTGAAAATAGGTACATCTACCTTTTTTCAGCGATTGCCAAGCAGATGCAACCGCACACGATCGCACGTCCTGGGAATCCTCAAGTCTGCACCAACCCTAAAGGGTATATTCACTTTCCCAAGTAATTTGGGAAAATGGAATTACCCACACAAATCTCCCTCCCACTATACTTACCTTTCGGCAAACGGTCCTTCCCGTCCACCAGTACGGGTGTACTATCTGTACCTGTTCCATGCATTCTGAATTTCGCTCGCAAATTGCAAGCACTCGTTGGTCAAAGCAGTCACCTGACGGCACTGACCAATGAGAAGTGCTTCTTAGCACTACTAAATACGGTTTTGGTGAAAATTATTTTTTTTGTATCGGGACCAGTAGATTGTCATGAGGGACAAGTAGATTCGGCCCCTGCTCTAGTCCTTGGACAAGTAGTTTTTTTTTTAATTTCCACACCCCTGATATTATGGTCAGAAATGGGTCAACTGGTCAGCATTATTGGTAAGGAAATTATTAAAATCCAAAGACTTTTCAACTGTAGTGTTACTACGCTCTTATGCTTATTTAGGGCTGCAGCTAACAACTATTTTCATCGAAATTGATTAGTTGCCGGATTATTTTTTTCAACTAATCGATTGGTTGAATTAAAATAAAATCTCTTGTTTGTATTCTCTCGCTCGTTCTCTTTCTCTCGTGCGCGCGCTCGTTCTCTCTCTCGCTCCTTCGTTCATTCTCTTTATCTCTCTCTTTCCCCCGTTCGTTCTCTCTTGTCCCCCAACTAACCGATAATGAATAGTTGCCAACTATTCTCATTATCGATTTAATCGATTAGTTGTTGCAGCGCCTATACTTATTTACAGAGCACAAACAGTTAAAATGTTAGTAGATAAAGCTTCTTTTGAAACATGAGAACAAATGATTTCTGAAAAAGTAGCAATAGCTGTAAACTTGTATTACCTCAAACTATTGGTTTTCATTTGCAGAATTGTGTACCTGTGTTAAAAATCGCTACACTGCCACAAATGCAGCAATTTACAAGTCAATGAACCATTTCCCTGTTGAAACGCTTTACCTTTCAAACACTCAAAATAAGATGATCCCTTTCTTCTCTTATTAGATCATCACAAGCTATTAACAAAGAAGGTAACTGAGACCCCCATGCACAAACAGATTACCAATAGACTGCTCTACAGGCAGATTAAAGGCCGGTAAGATATTAGCTTAGCTCTGTGACATGATTACATTTTGACATGCAGCGTTGTCTGTTGATTCTATGGATGTGATTATTCATGTGATATCAGCCATTTATTATGTTTACTCTTTCTATCAGATTTTAGCTATATGATGGCTAGGTGACACACTTTTAGAATATAAGCAGTTTTTAATTCTGTTGATTAAGAGTAAAATTTGCCTTTTTACTTGTTTTGGTCTATTGCAGTAAAATAGTAATGTTACGCTTGTGAGGGTATTAAAAAAATATCTTGGAATCTAGATGCAGCATAGATTAAACCCCTGTGCTTATAGTAAACAACGTACCCACTGCTTTTTTACAGGTGCAGCGAGTCTACATCTGATATCGGCATTGTTGAGGAATCTCCAGAGAAGGATATAAAAGGTAATCATTCAGGAAATGGAACATACCAGGGGGGGGGTTGTGTTCTTTCTGGCCAAGTGCTAGTACTTCCAGACATACTCAGTTGCTGTTAATATCACTATTCAAAGTGTACATCTCGGGTGGTACAATTTTGTTGTATGGTGCCTTTGCCTAATTTATGTAGTGTGCACTAGAATGTTTTTGTGTGCACTAATTTCTTTGTATTGCTATTTACATATAATTATTGAACTTATTCTAATCACAACTGGAGTTATAGCTACCAAAATATTCATCAAGTAAATTATGCAAATAACTTTAAAGCAACCTAGAACTTTTCCAGTTCCCAGCTAAAGTATAAACCCCTTTTCTCTCCTGTTAAGTTCACTTGAAAATTGTAACAAATATATGTAACTTTTCCCTTGTAATTATTATTGAACTACTGGAGAGTAACACCAGGCTGCAAATGGTTGTAATTGTGGCAAAGTCAGATATTCCTCTGAGATGTAACTGCAACCAGCATGTGTGGGCATGACTACTGTGAGCTGGGATCATGTTGACCTACTTTTTTGCAGCCACAGATTCAGGGCTGATTTATTGAGCATAAAAGAATATAAAAAATATTTAGCAAATGGGTTAACTCAAGATGGCTGTGAAAACAAAAGTTGGCTATGTTCCCCGAGGTTAGTTTCCATGCAAAGTTTTTATGTTATCTGAGAATGTATTCTATATATTTTTTTTATGGCAAGATCCTTATGTCCTGCTTTACTGTATTTGTAATTATGCCCAGCTACTCTTCTGATGCACACATTTCAGCTTATACGAACTTGCTGTCTAATGAGAAGGTTGGAGGCAGACAGGTGACATGGGAAGCGAAATTGCTGAACCAGAAATATGATTTTATGAAAGCAGATATCATTTGTCTAGCTGTTCATTGCGGAAAATGTGTAAATCACGAGATTGGCTGTAAAAGATTACAAATCCTTTGGCAGTTAAAACCGTAAATATATTTGTATTTCTACTGTATTTAACTGTTTGCTTGGAGTTGCTTTATGATCTTGGTTGGAGTTGCTTTATAGCTTTATGATCTTTCTTACCTTTGCCTATTCTGTGCTAGATGTGCGTAGGAGCCCCCGCATTAAGCAGCTGTCCCTTACAAGAAGAAACTCTTCGTTCTATGCGTCACAGCCAAAATCACGCAATCTGGAGAGGGTTAATTCAGCCAGCCAGCAGCTCCTTGCTGGCCATATGGGTAAAATACTTATGAGAGTGTTTTGATGTTTTTTGGGGGTTTTTTTCATAACATGTAAATCAGTATTAACAGGGATGCATTCAAACTAAGATTGTGGTTTTCGTGGTTTGCAGGAAGTGGGCACAGCAATGAAGCAAAAACTCCTAAACGTTTACTTTTTGGTGAGGTGCTTGGATTGACCAGTCCACCGACGAGGAAGGCGAGAAGAAAGCTACTGAATGATCCTGAGCTTTCGACACAGGAGGTAGTTACAAATAGCGGTGCCTAAAAGAAGCAAGTGGAATTGAATACAAAAGGGAGCATAGTATGTTAATTGCTCACATGCGTGCTTTTATTATGTTGAAAGTTCTAGTACAAGTAGCCTTTAACCCCTGACCACCACTAGATGTTGGGCTGTGGGGAAGTGCAAGATTTTACACTTTGTCAACAAAGTCAAACTGTATAGCCAGTAGCCGCATTTGTACACTGCAATCAACTTTTTAGGGTCCGTTCACCCCATCTGCGTTGGAGCTGCGCTGGCCGTTTCCAGCGCAGCTCCAACTCAAGACCAGGCGATTTATTTTGTCACAGATGGTGTGCATTCACACCACTGTGTTGTGGTAGGAACGTGGTGCTGTGTGCTGCAATAGGTAAAGCATGCCTTCCTTTTTTTCAATGCAGCGGGATGCGACATGCAACCGCCTCGCACCCTGCCCTGCCTGTAGAACAGAATGAAATTTCAATTAAGTTGTAACAAAAAAAGTACACACCCAGTGCGATGTGCTGGGATCATCGCATCTGCACTGTGCCAGGGCACTGCAGACCAGACAGTGTGATTAGCGCAGGTCAGATTCAGGTGTGAATGGGCCCTGAAAGTGTACTTTTATTTTCGGGACATTTTACAGGAGTAAAAAAATTAAAACGGGAACGGACAACAATAGAAAATTGACTTTCAGCATTTCTCTAATAAAAAAAATAGCTGATGTCTGTTTTGCGGTTGGAGCGTTTCCTTCACTTTGGTGAATAGATTGAAGAGGAAATCGCTTTAACAGAGCCCTGGAGAGCAGTAAAAATAATTCCCCATTCTATCCAAAACAAAAAAGGTTGGTTATAGATAACTACATTGAAAAAAATGAGCTCCCATAACTAAAACTCATCTTGGCAATATACCTTGGCAATGCACTGAGATTTATGTATTTGTTTTTTGTTTTTTTAGATGCCAGAAAAGCATCAAAGGAAAACTCCAAGAAAAATGTCACAGAAAGCGGATTCAAACTGTGAAGAGTCAATAGGAAGGAGGTTGTCGCAGAGATCTCCCTGTACACCTGTACGTACTCCCAAAAGGCTTAAAACCCCTTCCAAGAGTCCACTGGAAAGGAAAAGTGCTAAAAACCTAGGAATATTTTTCTCCCCATCTAAGCAAGAACAACAATCTATTTTGAAATCCCCTGAAAGAAGAAGTGAACGATTAGCGCACATAACGCCTAGGAAAAGCGATTCTCCAAGTAAATGGCTTCGATCTCCCTTAAAGACACTAAACCAACAGGTTACACCTCACAAATGTAGAGCAGAAAGGCCACAAGACAAAGAGGTTTTCAAAAGCCCAGAGAAGACACCCAAAAGACATTCAAACACTAATTCTCCTGGAAAGCAAAGGCTTCAAATGTCATGCACCCCAAAGAAATCCCTTCGATTGCAATGTTCAGATGCAGAAACTGTTTCCACCACAAGTTATCAACTTGGAACACCAGAGAGGTCTGTTTCACAAACGCCAAGGAAATGTGTGGAGTGGAAGAGTTCTGTTATAATTCCTTTTGCTACAGAGCATTCCCCTAGAAAACATGCAGCTGAGGATTCCATGTCACCAAAAACCTCTTTCACTACAAGGTATCAACTTCGTACACCACAAAAGTCCCTTTCGGCTATTCAGCGAACGCCCACACCAAAGAAACACGTGGAGTGGAAGAGCTCTGTTGAGCTACCTTTACCTTCAGGGTCTACACCTAAAAAGTTAGATCACTCGATTAGAAAACATGCCGCTGTGGAGGATTCCATGTCACCAAAAACCTCTTTCACTGCACGATATGAACTTCGTACACCACAAAAGTCCCTTTCAGCTATTCAGCGAACACCCACACCAAAAAAACACGTGGAGTGGAAGAGCTCTGTTGTGCTACCTGCAGAATCTACACCTAAAAAGTCAGATCGCTCTCCTAGAAAACATACAGCTGAAGAGGATTCCATGTCACCAAAAACCTCTTTTACTACAAGGTATGAACTTCGAACACCTCAAAAGTCATTTTCATCTCTGTTGCAAACACCAAAGAAATCGGTTGAGTGGAAGAAGTCTGTTTCTTTTCCTGCTGAATATACTCCTAAAAAGTCAGATGGCTCTTGCTCCACATCTCCAAAGACCACCATTCTTTCCATGCCTCCATGCCTGCCAGTGCTTAAAACTGCTACAATATCACAGCCAGGCAATAAACTGTTTCCCGATTCAAAAAATGGTAGTCCTCTTACCAAAATATTAAATACTGGGGAATGTACCCCTGGTAGATATTCTTTAGTTTCCAAACACACATCACCTGTTCTGTCGAAAACGTTGCCAGCTGAACTTAAGGTTGTATTGCCACGTTTGAAAAACATTTCAGCATGCAACATTCCTTCGACTAAAAGTGATGTTGTCTTGTGTGAAAGGTTGGATGTTTCATCCTTAGAAAGTTCAGAAGGTTCAGGATCTTTTGTGAACACCTCACAGACAGATGAAAGTATTGATATAGCAGAAGCCAAAGTTGTGCCAACAGAAACCTGTGATCTGAAAATGAAACTGCTGATTACGAGGAAGCCTTCTGATGCTGGCAGTTTGCCAAGCACACCAAAGGGTCCAGGTAATGTTCAGTGCACTTCACCATACGGTCTACGCCATACCGTTGACAGAAGGCAACGAGAAGCTGCAGCACGACTTGGCACTCCACAAATTCAATCTAATTTCTTGACTCCAAAAAGTCAGAAGAAAACCATTCCTCCCCCAATTTATGAAGTTCAACTTGAGATGAGAGAGTCAGGTTTGCCTAAGCTTCGTTTTAAGAGGACAGATTCGAACTCAACTGTTCATATGACCAGTGGAGTTGGAGTTGAAGACTCTCCAACTGTGTCTCGCACTAGGAAAGGAGAAGAGGTTCCTTTTGGTGAGACATGGTGTAATAAGCATATGAAGTTAGAACCGGGCTGTGCCTCTCCATGCTTGCGGTCTTCCTACAACACGCCTGGCAAAAGTAGCCTGCAGACGTTCATTTGCCAGTCTTACACACCTAAAAGGTGTGCTTCTAATACTGCTTCCCCAACGCAAGCAGACGCTACAAGTCCTTGGACACCATCCCCAAAATACAAAGAAAAAAATGGCAACGATGTTATTAATAACTGGCCACGGAAAAAGAAAGCATCTGCTGTGAAAGCTGCTAATGTGCCAAAGGGAGATAAAAATCCGGACCATATAGTAAGCACAGCGTCGGCAGAAGAAGGGAGTCTAGAACATGATGCAAATAAGGCTTCTCCTTTAAGTGACTTTGTGTTTGATGGGGTCTCCAAACTTCAGGAGCTCTCTCCAGTCATAGACTGGAAAGGTAAAAGTGAAATTGGCGCAATGACTTTGAAATCTAGAAAGAGATGCTTTGAACTCCTCTCTCCCTCAAAGGATGCCCAGCCCAGTGGTAAACGATCTTGTATTTTGAGCAGTGCTGTTGAAGATCTGGAAGAATGTGTTATTTCTTCAAGTCAAAGTCTATCCTCGAACTTGAGTTTATCACAGCAAAGTTCTGAAGATGATGTATTTAGCATTGCAGGTATTTAATGGTTTTCTGCTAAAAGTATGCCTAATTCTTTCATTTGAAGCTTCATAAATGAATGGCTTATGTTTGTTTTCCAGTCATTACACCACCCACAAAGGTACCAAAAAGTTCCTTATCTGCAAGTGGCCTGTTCTCACTTACTCAGTCACCAATGCTGTTTAAAGGGAAAACACTGTTATCCAAGAGAAAGATGCAAGGTGAGAGATTTTATTGGATCTTTAGTTTATACAGAGCTCTCCTTTGTCTTGTGTTCACTATGCCTGGAATGGGTTGGTGACTTCCCCTAGTCTGCACGTTAGCAGCGTGTCTTTGCTAACTTCGACCAAATGTTTGCATTTGGGAAACATTTTGGAAGGATTTGAACTGCAGTGTTGGAATTTAGCTGTGGATCTTATAGAGCTGTCATTACTGTTTGTTTTGTGTTTTGGAAAACATATCCTACTCTGAATCTGAACTCTCCCTTCTTTAACCAGTTGACATCCGCGGTGTTAAACCCCCTTCCCATCCAGGCCATTTTTCAGACGAGCACATATAGATATCTCATGTACCAAGTACTTTGTTGAAGCGCCCTTGGCAGCAATTACAGCCTGCAGTCTTTCTGGGTATGACGCAACAAGCTTTGCACACCTGGATTGGGGGATTTTCTGCCATTCTTCTGTGCAAATCCTCTCAAGCTCAGTCAGGTTGGATGGGGACTGTTGTTGGACAGCCATTTTCAGGTCTCTCCACATATGTTCAATAGGGTTCAAGTCAGGGCTCTGGCTGGGGCCACTCTAGGACATTCACAGCGTTGTCCCTAAGCCACTCCTGTGTTGTCTTGGCTGTGTGTTTAGGATAGTCATGTTGGAAGGTGAACCTTCGGGCCAGTCTGAGGTCCAGAGTCCTGTGGAACAGGTTTTCATGGAGGATACATCTCTGTACTTTGCTCCATTCAGCTTTCCCTCAACCCTGACCGGTCCTTCAGTCTGCTGCTGAAAAACACCCCACAACATCATGCTGCCACCACCATGCTTCACTGGTGGGATGGTATTGGGCAGGTGATGAGCGGTGCCTGCGTTTAGAATTGAGGCCAAACAGTTCAATCTTGGTTTCATCAGACCAGAGAATCTTGTTGTTGTGGGAGGTGCGTTGCAGTGCAATTAATTTCAATGTCACCCCAAACGCACCTCCCACCTACAGTGTGATAGCCCGCACTGGAACGCACAGTACTGCAATGCCATGCTTGCCAGTGTTTTTTCCTGAAGTAAACGTAACACTGCATTTGTGTATTTCATTTAAAAGAATGTATTTTTTTATCTGATCTAAAAAATAATCGCCAAATCGATTATGAAACTAATCATTCGTTGCAGCCCTAGCCCTTTTTCCCCAATCAGTTTGTCTGGGCTTCCAGCTCTGGGAAGAGCCATGCTTGTGCCAAACTTTTTCCATTTGAGAATTATGGAGGGCACTGTGCTCTTGGGAACTCGGTGTAGCAGAATGTTTTTGTAGCCTTCCCCAGATCTGTGCCTTGCAATAATCCGGTCTCTGAGCTCTGCAGGCAGTTCCTTTGACCTCATGGCTTTTGCTCTGATACAGTGTGTATAGTCAGCTGTGAGGCCTTCTATAGAGAGGTGTGCGCCTTTCCAAATCCTGTCCAATCAATGTAATTTACCACAAGTGGACTCCAATCAAGGTGTACAAACATCTCAGCAATGATGAAGAGAAACGGGAGGCACCTGAGCTCAATTTCAAGTGTTGTTGCAAAGGGTGTCAATACTTATGCCAATGTGATATTTCACTTTTTCCTTTTTTCATATATTTGCAAACATTTCTAAGATTCTGTTTTTCACTTTGTCATTACGGGGAACCGAGTGTAGAATAATGAGGATAAAAAAAGGAATTTAAACAACTGTAGTATCAGGCTGCAACATAACAAGATTGGAGAAAGTGACGGGTCGGAATGCACTGAATATGGATCTCAACAACCAAACAACCCTCTTTCGTACTGGTCTTTGTTTCAACCTCTCATCCATGATTGACTTGGTACAATTTAAAAACAGAAGCAGAAAATTGATGTTGTTAGCCTATATGTATGACATATATCAGGCATTACAAGTTCCCATAAACAGCAGATATGGAACTGGCATTCGCCTTTGATATTCCCTCGTAGCTCCATTAACAGTATGCTGGAGTGGATAGAAAATGTTAGAACGGGGAGTTTGTATTTAATCACAACATCATATTTTCTTCTGTGTGGAGGTTAATAAAAAGGAAAATTCCAGCCAACGACCGGTAAAGTAACTGCAGTACATGACACATGTAAAAGATTTAGTTTAACGCAATACAATGTTGGTAAATGTCTAGCTGT